CATAAACAATTTCTACTGTGACTGTGCTGAGATAATGTAAACATTTGTGCTTAAAGTTGTAAATGCCTGCTGTGCTTTAGCTATTCTGATTCACCATGATATTGCTAAAGTTAACATAAACTTTGTGAGGCTGTTGCTGGCAAAATGCCTTCTTTGCGTATTCCTCTAAGTCAAGTGAGCACTGGTCAGTAAGTGGGGAATGCACAAGCATTCCCACGAGAGACTCTGCTTTCTCAGTCAGTCATGGCCTGCTTTGTATGATTGTTGAAATAGAATGAGTGGTCAGTAATTTACTTTAGGCAAAGATTCTTTTAACCCGATATAAACTTAATAGAATTTGTGCTTTTAGTTAAGAAGGAAGACAAGAAGCATTAGGTTATTACTTACAATGTTATTACTACAATGACATTTATCGTTGCTCTAATTTTTTTAAAAAAATGTATAAGTATTTAATAAAGCAATAATATTAAACTAAGTTTAGATACCTAACCTTAGGTATCATTATTTCAAAATGCTTTGGATACACACACACACACACACACACAAATACACATATACATAGGGATGAACTCCAGATAATATGTATTCAATTACATATACAGCATGCACAATACATTTCATTGACTTGTTTTTTCCTGGGTGGATAGTCATACCAAACTCTTTCGAGTTGTTATAAATCTCACATAAGAGGTTCTACAATGTTTAGGAGTATTAATAAGAAAATATCATCTGCATATTCTAGAATACCTTGCTTCACATTTAAATAAGTTTAAGCTAAATAACTCAAACTTCTAATCCAATACAATAAACATTTATTAAGCACCAGGCACCGTGCTAAGCACTAGTAATACAGTTAGTAAAAAGAAAGACAATCCCAAGGAGTTTACAGTCTCCTGGGAAGAAACTAGACACAAAAGGGGGCAGGGCAGAGGGAGGGGAATGGGATATCAGGGGGGTAGAACTTTCAGAGTCATCTTGTTCTGTGGAGTTGAAACAGGTAGAGCAGCAGATGCAAAGTGGATCTGCCATTTATAAGACAGGAAAAAGCATTAGGAAGAGTTTGGAGGGCTGAATGGGAGACTATCAGAGGGGAGAGGAGGCCGAGGGAGGTGATGTCAATTAATGTTTGAGTTAGCTTCATGGTGATGAAATTAGAAGTGATGAGTTTATCCTGGGAGGGGCATGGAGAGTACCACTATCCAGTCAGGAGTGAAACCTCATGTTAGGGCAGCTTAAATAGGCTGGTTAAGTTTTCTCCAGGTAGAGCCCACCGAATCTCAAATTTTAGCTTATGCTCTAGCCAGTGTTGTGATCCCACATATGAAAAAGCACAAAACAATTCTACTAGCACATAAATTGAGATATTAAAAAAAATAGCAATAAGTAGATATCAATCAATAAACATTTATTAAGCACCTATTTTGTGCCAGGCACTGTGGTAAGCAATGGATATTATCAATCACTAATATGGTTTCCATTTAACTGGAGCTTTTGGGCTCTGGCCTCTAGCAGGTTCACTCTTGATCTGGACAGCCAGAAGGACAGGAATGGAGACATAATGAGGGGTTATTTATTTTTCTCAATCAGATTGCTGATATTGGGAGCTCCAACTCCTACAGCTTCCCCTAAGACTCGATGGGGTCTAATTGAGACATCCCCGCTTGTGCATTCCCCACTTACCGACCAGTGCTTACTTGATTTATAGAGGAGCACGCAAAGAAAGCATTTTGCCAGCAACAGCCTCACAAAATTTACAACAACTTTAGCAATATCGTGGTAAATCAGCATAGCTAAAGCACAGTAGGTGTTCACAACTTTAAGCACAAATGTTTATATTATATCATTGCAAAGTCACAGTAGAAATTGTTTATGACCATAGATTCTAGGAACTATTATCTAAAAAAGAATAACAAAATCCACCTTACATACATTCATTTATCAAATACTTACTCTATGGCAGGTACTCTGCTGGGAGCTGGGGATATGAAAGCAAGTGTAGAAATCATCCCTATCCTCATGAAACATGTAATCTGCTGGGAAAATGTATAGTAATAAGCCAATACACAGTGAATGCATAGTAATTTGGAGGGGGTGAGTTGGGTGGGGGTGAATGGAGGGTGGGAAAGCACTATCACCTCAGGAAAGAAACAGATATCAGAAAAAGTGTCATGTAGGAGATGGCATGAGAGTTGGTTCTTAAGTACAATTAAGAATTTCAAAGAGGCAGCTAGGTGGCACAGTGGATAGAGTGCTGGGCCTAGAAGTCAGGAAGATTCATCACCATGAGTTCAAATCTGACCTCAGCTACTTACTAGCTGTATAACCCTGGGCAAGTCACTTAACCCAGTTTGCCTCAGTTTCCTTTTCTGTAAAATGAGCTGGAGAAGGAAATGGCAAACCACTCCAGCATCTTTGCCAAGATAAACCTCAAATGGGGTCAAAGAGTCAGACTCAACCCCCCCCCCCAAAAAAAAATCAAAAAATAGAGGTAAGAAAGGAGTGTCCTAGTTGTGGGGAACAGCAAATACATGTGCAAAGGCATGGATATAAAACATGGAAAACAATATTTGTTAGTGTTATTAATTGAATGCTGAGGGTATGATCAGGATAATGTGAAGTGTGGAAAGAAAGGCTGAACCAGATTGTGAAGGGTTTTAAATTCCAAAAGAGGAGTTGGTTTTTCCATCATAGAAGCAATAGAAGTTTTTTGAGTAGGAAATTGACACAGTAAAGCCTTTGTCATCAATTTGGCAATTAATTGGTAGCTATGCCAAAGATAATTTGGCGAGAAGACAGACTGAAGTCAAGGTGATAACTACTGGAGTAGTTCAGATGACAGTGACTGTGAACCCAATATGGCAAGCAGTGGTCTTGCAAGTAAAGAAAAGGGGACAGATGTGGGAACTGACAAGATTTGGTAATTCACCAATAGTGGGGCACAGAGGAAGTATCAAGGAAGACTGAATCGAAGATTGAAGGGTAAAAGGACGATGATACTCTTAATTAAAATGTTAGGAAAGAGGTTCTTAAGGTAGGGTCCATTAATTTTTTTCCCCCCCATTTTTTTTTTTAAAAAGTTTTGAGTTCCAAATTCTATCCCCCCCCTTCCTGAGAGGTCAAGCAATCAAATCTAGGTTATATATGTGCAATTATACAACACATTTCCATTAGTAATTTTGTGAAGACTTGAATAAAGTAAAAAGTAGTACATGAACTTTAAAAAAAAAATTTGTGATATAGTTCAATATTTGAAATTCAATTATTATTTTTAAATTATTTTATTTTGATTCAAGTTTAAAATTTTTCTCCCCCTTCCTCCCCACCATGGTGCACAATCTGATATAGGCTATACATATACATGTCTATTAAACATTTTCACAGTGATGTTATAAGAATTAGAACCAATAGGAGGAACCACCAAGAAGAAGAAACATAACTCAACAGAAAAGAAAAAAAAAAAACAAATAGTATGCTTCAATCTGCATTCAAATTCCATAGTTCTTTCTTTGGATGTGGATAGCATTTTCCATCATGAGGCCTTTGGAGATGGCTTAGATCCTTATATTGCTGAGCATTACTAGTTTTTCTAGCCCTATTTTGTGCATTTAATACACCTACGTTTCCCACCAAGGCTTCCCCCCATAAGGTTGAAATGAGATGCTTGTAAAGCAATTTGCAAAACTTTAAAGCACTACATAAATGTTGCTATTATAAGTTTTAGCTCTTAGAAACTGAGATCACTATGAGGTAGGAAAGCCAGGACCAAGCCAGAACTCCAAAATATATCTATACATAAAAACAAGCAAAGATAATTCAGCCAAACAAAAACAAAAAAACAAAACAAAAACAAAAAAAGGAGAGAAACAGGAGAGGGGATTACAACAGCCTAGAAAAGGGTTAGTAGGCAATTGTACAGATTGCGCTAAGGAGGGCCGAGAGCAATCAAGATATCACCTAGGACCCAGCAGGAACACTTTCCTAGCTAGTAGGAAGGTAAAATGCAAGTAACTAAGAGGAGAATGGAACAAAGGCAGAACAGAGAGCTTTTTCCATAGTTTAGCCATGATGGGACATATGGCACGAGTTTAAGAATGGCAGGGTCCAGTGACATTTGAGGATAAGAGGGCTGGGTGTGTTGGGAGGCAGCAAAGAGACTGAAGAATATAAAAAGGAGAGGAATGATTGCAGTTGCAGACTTGTAGGAGATGGGAACAAGTAGAGAGATCTTTCTCCTCCAGAAGTTAACAAAAGGTTTTCCTTTATTTCTTATTTGTGGTCTCAAACACATCTTTGCACTTTTAAATGAAGAGAGCTTGGTAGAGTGCTTATTGTTACCTTGACTCCTGCAGTGCTGTTTTGAATGGGGTTTTTCCTCTTCCTCCTGGCTGATTCCCCCTTTTTTTTTTTTGGCACCCTACTTTGCTGAACATTAAAGAGAATATTTATCGAAGAAAAAAAAAAAAAGTGGTTCCTGCTTTGCTAACAACCTTTCTTCGGTCTGAACTTTTGCTTTCAGGTACATGCTACTTATCTAAAGCCCATTCTGGAACAAGAACACCCACCTCTTCTCTCCCTCCCCCCCCAAAAGACACCATATAGTCCCCTGCTGAAGGAGACCAAGTGCTTTCCTCCAGGCTGAGTAGGCAAGTCTTTCACGTGTAAGAATTGGCAGGGCAGATCCAAGAAGCTCAGAATGTTGTCAGCTTAATTTTTGAAGAGGCTTATGGCTTTTACATCTTTATAAGCAAGTGAAGTAGTGAATAGACTAGCCCCGGATGTACTAAAGTGGGTCTATTCTTGGATAGAGAAAGTTAGAGGTATTCATTGTTCAAGTGTACCTGTTGCCCCTTTACACAACTAAGGGAAATCTGGGTTGAGGTAGGGTTAGCAGTGGCTCAGGCATGTTAGTGGAGGCCAATTAGACCAAGGCACCCCAAATTTAAGCAATCAGCTTAGAGATCAGAACTTAACCACAATGAAATATTTTTATTGCTGGAATCTTACTTCCATCTCCTCAGTGCTAGGAAGGATATCAACAATATTGCCACAATTAGGGTCCCAGATAGAATAAGCCAGAGCATTCTTATGTCCAGGACTGAACCTGTGGAAGAAATTATTGTTTAGAACTTGTGTTGGCACCAAAGGTATTTATAATAAATGGGTGGCAGTGATTTTAGAGACAGTCCTCCATTCATCCATGTTAAGAGTTATACTTCCTACAGATGGAAAAGAAAAAAAATTTGTCCTCAGATTACAACCAGGATGGGCAGGGGGAACATAAAATCCCTAAATTATAACTAAGTGTCATGTTCTCTTCCCTACTTCTGGGTTCAAGATTTGACAATTACTACTTCAATCTTTGAATCAACTGTCTTGTCTTTTAAAGCCTATGGGCATGGAAAAGTAAAGGGTCCAGGTAGAAGCTGGCTAGACAGACAACTTATCTGAATCTAATGAGTGAAAAAACACATTAATATACTGCAAAACATTGTGCTAAATCCTAGACATGTGAATATGATCTAGGATACAATTCAAGTCTAGGTTTTCAGAGTAGAAAAAAAATATCAGAGGAAGATACAATGGAGTTGACCCTCACCTGATTGAGAGGAGTCTTCAGCATCTTGAAGCAAAAATATAGGCCCCTTGCTAGAAACATTTGAAGTCTTGTTCCAAGGATGGGTCTCAGAGTTCCTCCTTTTTCCTAAGGGGAAGAAGGGTAGGAAAAAAAAAGTGTTAATATAATATTTAGTCTGGAAAGAACCAAGACAGCCCAGTTAGATAATAGCACAGGAGGTTTTTTTTTTTTTAATATATATTAAAAAAAAGTCTGTTGCTCCTAAACTATAACTTGGGTGGGTGGGGTGAGACATGGGAAGCAGAGCACATTTATATAAGGGATTGTAGAAGTATAGGCAGATGAGCAATTTGCTGTTGGCTACAACCAAGTGCCACTGTCACCTGTTGGATTTGCATAGATTTACATCTGGTGGGAGTAGGTTAGCACAAGAATGTATGCACCGGGAGCTACGTACCAAGATACCAAATAGAGACCTTTGATTTTGGCTTTGTGTCATTTGACAGGTTCAATAAACAACATATGGGTTAAGGCAAGGACTGGATCTAGATACCTGGTTCGTTCTTGTGAAATACTCTATTGCTTTAAATAAGAGTTCAAAGCAATAAAGGTAAGGAGATAGCTCTAAATACTTACTAGTTCCCACAGGGCAGGTTACTGTGCAAGAGTCTGCCCCCAAGGGCTGGCAGACAGAGGCATTGCAGTGTAGATATACCTAGAGAGAAACCCATGGTTACACCTTTTTGGTCTTCTGTTACTAGTAAAGGTAGAAAGGAGTCGCTAAAGGAGGCTGGTTATGCACATCAAGATGCCTTAGAGATAGTTTAGGTCCTCCAAAAGTTAAAATACACAATTTGAAGAGAGAAATGAGATCATTTAAGTACCTCTTTGCCGAGGACTGAACTAGGCTAAAGAAGATTTTGTTTAGAAATATGCTTATGGGCTTTATACTGTAAGATAAAACACTCCAATTAATAAAGTATTGGTCTAAACAAAGTGATTATTTATCTCTACCTATCAAATATCTATTTGTCTATATATCCACATTATATATGTATGCAATATGTAAAATCCACTGATGGATTAGAAGACTAGGAAGACTCCTTCGCTAATTAGAACAATTTTATCTAAGTGCAATTTATCAGCTGTCAATATGCTCCATTTTGAAGAGTAAAAAATGAGTTTAGATATTCTTGCATTTGAGGTCACATGCAAGAGAATGACATCCTACCGGTCCCATGAGTGCCTTTTTAAAAGCAGAATCCATGAAAGCAAAGGTGTGGATGATGAAGCGCTTGTAGTGAGAAGGAAACCGTGGTGTTGAATTTCTTGGTATGGATACCATCTTTGTCCAGTAGTTATCTCCTTCATAGGGACATCTAAAGAAGATCAGAAAAATCAGGGTAGGTGCTTTTCTCCATACTTCCCAGGCTGAAGCCTTCAAGCAGCCACTCACCCCTTCACTAAGATGGGCCATTGTATTGGATACTGAGGATTGGTACTGGGGGTTGCCCAACAATGGTGTAGAAGTAGAACCAGATCTGGGTCTGTTCTTCGTAGGATCCGAACCTCCACATGAATTGGCTGCCGAAGTAGCTTTGTTACTGGGTATTCAGTGGCCACATAGTAGGAACTATAGTGCTCTTCTGTAAGAGAGAGAGAAGACTTGGTTTGGTAAAGACAGGAAGTCAAGTCTTATAGTGGACATGATGGGGTTGGAATCTGGGGGTTCCAGAAAGGAAAAACCCTGGACTTTCCTACATGGCCAAATCTCTGGTGTTCCCCTGAGGCTATGGTCCCCCATCAACTGGTCTTTCATTGTGACTACACCTAATCTCCCTTCTATTGTCTTGCCTCCCTATGGGCCTCAGGCCATTTCCCACCCTTGGTCCCACCTAGGCTCCATTTCCCACCCTTGGGAATTCTATTACCTCATGGACTGCTTGGCCACTCTCCCATGGTCATTCTATATAAGGCCCATCTTGTCTCCATTAAGATGCTCAGATTCTTAGAATCTAGCCACTGCTCAGATTCTTGTAATCTGGCCACTGCTTACCCATGTTCAGACTCCTTAAGAGTCTTGCCCAATATGATAGATGTTCTAATAAACCTTGTCTTTGGCTGAAAGAAGGCTTGGGTCAAATTCGTTCGGATAGGACCCGCGTGTTGTGATTTTGGGGTCCCAGCACCCCTGAACCACAGACAGAGTGGACTTGGAATCAAGATGACCCAAGTTCAAATCCTGCCTTAGAAACTTGCTAACTATAGGAACTTGGGCAAGTCATTTAACTTCTCAGCCTTAGTTCCTCGATCTGTAAAAACAGGGGAAAAACAGCCTCTACTTTCTAGGTTGTTTTGAGGACTGGATAAGATAGCACACCTAAAGTGCTTTACAAATTTTAGTGGTCGACATAAATGAGAAAAAAGAGCCAAAAGACATGGTTACAGAATGCTTTGATTAAGGTACTCAAAGCTAGGTTTACTGCAAGAGCACAAAGATTGTTTTGTGAAGCAGAAGTTTATCTTGCAAGTAGTTTATCCGAGTTCTAGGATCTCATGCCCCAGTCTGGATGTAAAGGTTCTAGATTCCATAGGCAAGAGGGAAACTGCCCCCCCCCCAACAAAAATTGCACAAAAGCATGACCTTACCTTTAGCAATTTGCATTTCCAGAGCCAGAGGCCCTGGCTTGGTAACAGGAAGTGGTGGGGGGAGGGTGACAACCTGGATAGTAGCTGGGAGCATGTCACCTTTTATGGAATAGCTACAGCTGATATGAAGCCTAAATGAAAGCAGAGAGGGCTTAGTCAGCAATAGGCCCATCTGTTCTGGAATTATCTATAATTGTTCTTTATAAAAAGAAAAAAAAATTCCCTTTGGTAGGTATTCCTTTATTTCTCTAGCCCAGAAATTTAGGGGTTATATAGCAGAAGTCTAGTTGGGCAGAAATATATTCCTCAAATTAATTATGTCAGTAAAAACACCTTCATATTTAAAACAGAAAGTAGATGATAGTTATAAAAAAAAAAAATCATACCTGAAGATGCTATCCCTAGTGATTGACCCACGGGTCCAGTTTCTCACATCCCTAGATGCCAGTAGCTCATTCTTATATATTGCCTGATTATCAATCATCTGAAATTAATGGATAAAGACATTCACTTACTATCAAATGGTCACTGGCTGGTTTATGCCAACTTGCTTTGAAACTTTTTATTATTTCTATCCCTTTAGGTAGTTTTTGCTTTCTTTGTATTCTTTTGTGCAAGTCCTGTTTAGAATATATGAAACTAGCCTAGGAAGGTTAGAGGTAAAATAGCAAAAACAGAAATGAATAACCAGGGAGCAGAGATCCAACTTGGTCGGCCTTGCTTCAAAATTAGATTTTAAAACACAAAAGGGAAAAGCCAAGTAGAAGTGATTGTTTGTCAGCCCTTAGAATGTATACTTTTGTTATCCTTTTTTTTTTTTTGGGCAGTGTTTCAATTCAGAAACCTTGTTCTAGAAGATGTTCTATGGCACTTTCTAGTTTCCATTTGCCACCCTTCGTATTTTAGCAAAGGTGCCCACAAGACTACTTTGAGGCCACATTTTTAAAGTTTTTGCTCCAATTCAGCACCTCCTGTGCTCTTCATTGCATCTCTCCCACCTACCCCACAGGGCTAGCCTAGTTATCTCTTTACCCTCTCACCTGTAGGATGGTGCCACAGGCAGATAGTGGAAACTGGAACAGGACAAAGGCATCATTTTTCTCCATGGGATCACATTTAGCATCTACTCCAGAAACCAAATGTACTGAATCCAAAAGCAATGATGGCCAAGTCACGTTCTGAGAAACCGCAACAGACAATTGGCCATCTGGAGTGCACTGGGCAGTCACTGAAAACAAAAGGAGGAAAACTTAAGTCAGAGACTCATTCTTGGTTGAGCAGAGGAACAGAGCCTAAAATAACTGTTGATTTTGTATGTCTTCTGCTTTTCTGAGTTAGCTGGGAAACTAGTTCAAGAAAGAATAAGGTTGTTAAGGATGTGTGTGTGTGTGTGTGTGTGTGTGTGTGTGTGTGTTGTGTGTGTTCATGTGCTCCATACATTTTAATGACTGGTTGCTGCTCGCCCTCTTCAATCTTCTTTAGGAGGGATATGTGTATATGAAATCAAACGAGATTTAAAAAAAAAAAAAGAAAGAAAGAAAAAAGAAAAAAAAGGGCATTAAATTAACTTGAAGAGAATCTCCATAAAATACTTTGGTTTCATACAGAAGAACAGGTTACCATCTAAACCAATCCCAAATACATGTTCTACTCTACAAAATAGACATGCCTAAATTAGCATTTTAGTTAGATCATGGTACTTGTCAATAACTCGTAGGGAAATCCACTTGATGAAGACTTTATTAAGTGCTTGCTATGTGCCAAGCACTGGGAATACAGGCCATTCTGTGCCCTCAAGGAGCTTTTATCTTATCCCAGGAATGAAGGCAGGAGAAAGAGTAGCAAGAACCTCTTTGAAAGTTCAGAATCAAATAAGGCCAAGAAGTAGCCCATGTCAGCAGGGAGATATGTCACACAGATGACAATTGTTGTATACCATTTTCCATTCCCAAACAATCATCATGCCACAAGTCGGCCTGGATTAAGTTAACAAGCATTGTTCTCTCCCTAGTTGGTTGTACCTAGTAACCAGAAAGGAAACAAAGGGTCAACCACATACCTGTGTTTCCATAGTAGCAAGGATTTACTTCGTCTTCAGAGCTATAGCAGCAGCCTAGGTTCTCACAGTCTCCTTTGGTGATGGATGAAATGGCACAGGACAGCCTGTCCCAAGCTTTGACATCACACAGGTCAAGACCTGGAGCATCTAGGGCTGGTTTCAGAGAGAGGTGAAGCTATACAAGTCTGAACTTTAGAGCATGATCTAAGGAATGCTTAGAACAGTTAGTCTTAAATCGATTACAGGTTTATTTTCTATTGTTCTCTTTCATTCAGGCAACACCTGGATAGGCTTATGCAAACCCTGTAATCACTTGATATGAAAGCACTAGTGCCCCACAGCAGACAAAATTAGAGGGTGATTCTGTCAAGTACGACAGCCATACCTATACTCTGCCAGCAAATAGGGAGAGAAAGATGGGGAAAGAAATGTACTCCCAAGAAGTACAGGCTGGTTATTTTCCCTTCTCTGCCATATCTATACAGGGGTCAATTATCTTGGATCCTGGAGAACTGAGGGTCATGTTATACCCTCCAATATTGATATATGTCATCTCTCATGGAGCAGAGTTGGCTCTTATCCATAAGGCCAAGCTTCCTGGAGTCCCAGCTGATATGGTTTTAACATTAAGAGCAGAAAGGGATCAAATAGAGTAGACTTTTTATACCCCCGCAAGTGGGCTTATGGTCATCTTTGTCGCTTTAAACACAGATCCTGCAAGCCTTTACCTGGCAGAGTGAATGAACACTTGAGCACCTTCACCTGGTGAACAGTCTTACTTCCATCAGCATCTAGGCCCGAGACCCCAATCGGCATTATGTAATAGGTATCCTGGAGAGACAGGCAGGCCAGGACAGTAACCAAATAGCAGCAATGCCGATGCAGAGAACGTTAAGGGCTTTACTCCAGGCTGGCCCCACTCACCCATTTGGTCACATAACATCCAGAATAGGAAGCTTCTAGCTGGATAGACTCGAGTGAGCTGTAGGTGATCCAAGTCCCACAGCTTGAATCGTTCTGCAGAGAGCGCAGCATCCCTTGGTCGTCTGAAAAGGGAGCAGCTCAAAACGTCAGCATGGGAACCTCTGTTAATAGAGGAGGTTCACAAGTGTTCCAAGGACAGAGGGGTGAGAAGAGAGGGACGAAGGACATCACGAGAAGTCCTTGAAGTATGTTCAGAGTTGGGATATTCATTTGCTTCCTTTAGAGTTGTTAACTGCCCTGGAGATCTGGGGAGGGAGGGGTAGTAGAGGAAGGAGAAGATCACAGTTTTGGGATCAGAAAGAAAGAAAGTTGGTTTGTTTTTTTTTTTTGCTTAACTATTCTTACCACAAGCTAAGCGTTTTTTGCTTTTTCATCCTTACCCCAAGCTATTAGTCCAGGGTTCTTTCCATACTGACTTAGAAGAGGAAGTGTAAACTGAAAACTCCTTAGTCCACAAGAGAACGTGCCAGGATGATTCAAGTCTTCAGTCTCTTCCAGACTCCCCCAAGCAAAAGAGAAGAGAGCAAAAAGTAAAATCCACAGCATTTCAGCACCAGCTTACCACCGTCCTCTTCCTTTATTCTCCTCACTCCTCAAGCTTTCTTATCTTCAGAAGGGCTTTTTGTACCCAGAAGAAGGGCCTTGCTCCAGGTGCACACTTCAACAGAAATCAGCTGGGAAACCTCTGAGGCCTCTCATTTCATAAGACCCATGGCTGCTTCCCCAGGGTTTGCAGCTGGGTTTGGCCACGTGCTTCACAGTCCATCCTTCCAGGAGATGTGTAAGGATGTGGAGAAATTCTCTAGTTCCTCTTGAGAAGGACTTTCTTAATGCTGCTCAGTGTATCATTTATTCTAATGAGAAGTTACTCATTTCATCTTCAAGCCAAATCACTCCACCTGTACCTGGTGAAATATCTTTCCAAGTCTAGATGAATCTTTGTTAAGTTATCCTCAAATTTGGAGTAGGCTTCCATGAGCAATCCCTGCTCAGGTGGAATCTGAGTTTAAAACTTTAGGTGAGATTTAAGTTGTTACGTTCATTTGGAACCATTCCTTAGCCTTAAGAGAGAATGCTTCAGAGATATTCTTTGCTGCATAAGGTCAAATACTTGTGCTGGTTCATACTCGATATTGGATGATCTGGTTTGTCCTACTGGGTTTTCTTGAAGGACCTAGGGTAGAACTGTGGGTCAGAGCTTCAACTGCTTACCAAGGCCAATCCTGCATCCTCTACTCGCTCTTTGTGGCATGTCCTTCATTCTTCCCTGACCTTTGAATCCAGAACCAGTAGATCAGTTGTTTTTCAGATTTAGGTCCCTACTTCTTATGATTTAGCTGCTAGATCCAAAGACATTCACAGAATTTTGCTTAGTCACACATCACAATTTATAGTCAATCAATCAATAAGCATTTATTAAGCACCTAATGTGTACCAAACACTAGGCTCTAAGGAGGCAAAGACAAAGATTGTAAAATGCCTACTCTCAAAGAACTTACATTCTATCTGTGGGGACACCATAAGCAGAAAGATATAGAATGAATAGAAGCAGAAATACAAGGTAGTTAAATAGTGGGCCACTAGGTGGCACAGTGGATAGAATGCCTACCCTGGAGTCAGGTAGACTGATCTTCCTGAGTTCAAATCTGGCCACAGACACTTACTAGCTATGTGATCCTGGGCAAGTCATGTAACCTTGTTGGCCTCAGTTTCCTAATCTGTAAAATGAAGGAAATGGCAAACCACTTCAGTATCTTTGCCAAGAAAACCCCAAATGGGATCACAAAGAGTCAGAGGCAACTGAAAAGACTGATCAAACAGTTAAATACAAGGGAGTTAGGAATAGAAGGCACTATGTCTTGACAAAAGAGAGGGATTCTATGAGGCAGCAGTAAGGAAGGAGTAAATTTTGGGGGATTCAAAGGCATAGAGATGGGAAATAGAGAATCTTGTGTGGGAAACAGAAGGACAGTATGTTAGATCATGGAATGTGGAAAGGGGAGTAATGCATAATGAGGCTGGAACGATAGGTTGGGGGCAGGTTGTGAAGGGCTTTAAAAGCTAAACAGAATTTATTTTATATCTTAATGAAAATAGGGAGCCAATGACATTTTTTGAGTAGGGAAATGATTTGGTCAGATCTGTACTTAAGGAAAATCACCTGGGAAGCTGTGTGGATGAAGGCCTAGAGTGAGGAGAGAGACAAATTAGGAGGCAGTTGCAATAGTCTAGGCAAGAGGTGGTCATAGCCTAAAAAAAGGTGGTATGTGAGTAGAGAAAAGGGGTCAGGTATGAGGGATTTTATGGAGCTAGGCCTCAATTGTTTCTCTTAGCCACTGTGCCATATTCAGTCATTCAAGAAGATATTGGAAGGACTGATCAGAGTGTGTCCCTAATCTGTGAGAGAGTAGTGCCATGGAGGATAACAGTCTTTAGCTACCACAAAATGTTTCTCTGGGTTACTGTTGAAGACAGAGTGCTGAGCCAAATGGTCCATTAGATGGATTAAATAATGATATTTCTAAGGTTAGCCGTGACCTTAGGAGTCATTTGATCTACCTTCTGCCTAAAGCATTAATCCTTTTCAACAAAATCCTGAATAAGTGGTCAGCCAACCTCCAGCCATGTGAAATTCTTTTTTTTTTTTTAAAGGTGGTCCACTTTACATTGGGATAACGCTAGGAAATCTTTCTTTGTTTGAGCTGAAATCTGCCTTTCTGGAACTTTTTAGTTCTCTATCCTGCAACCATATAGAAGAATTCTGATCCCTCTTTTATGGTACCATTCAGATATTTGAACATTACTCTTCTATTCTCCAGGCTCAACGTTGCCAGTTTATTCAACCAGTCTTTATATGATATTCATCATGGAATAATGGAAAAATTACTAGTCTTGGATTCTGAGGTCCTAGATTGGGATATCCTGCTTTAAACACCTCTGAGGCTTTGCTAAAGTTATTTAACCTCTATGGAATTCAATATCCTCACGTTAAGAGGTTGGACTGTGGGATTTCCAAAATCCCTTCTAAATGCAAACCTATGATTCAGTGGTTCAGTTTCATAATGGTCCCCTCCCCCAATCATATTACCCAGATCTGAATACTTTACTCCAGATGCAATTCTTCCAGGACAGAATACCTCCTTCAATCTGGATACTAATCCAGTGTGACATTTCTTATACATTTTTGTTTATTTATATTTATTCTTCTAATGTGACTAACAATCATCCAAAAATTCTGGGAAAAATACCTAGAAGCGCTAAGCGGGTCAGTTAATTATACTTGATGAACAAAGTTAAAAGTTTTAAAGCATTTATTAAATACTTCCTATGTGCTAGACACTGTACTAAGCACTGGGAATATAAATATTTAAAAAAATACCCAAACAAAAACAACCCTTGCCCTTAAGAAGCTTCAATTTTAATGGTGAAGACTACATGTTAAAAGCAAACAAAAAACAGAAAAGGGAGTAAAAGGAGAGACGGATAGGTCATGAGAAGTGTGACCTCATAGGAAATAAAGAGATGGCTGGCATGGGCACCTTTCTTAAATGAAAATTCTTGGAAAAGCCATACAATTAGAAAGAGGAGCTCCAATGGCCAGGAGGGTACTTCTGAGGTGAGAGCCCCAGGGCTCAAATGATCTTCCAGGTTGAAGAGCTTTTGGGGGCATGGTAGAAAAGTGCAGAGAGAGCAATCTGGTGGGGAAATGTGAAGTTTTAGCAAATATAATGATCCCTTTCCCAATACACCAGTAATTACTCTTCCATCAAATCGGTTGCCTTCGGAACTCCCATTCCTTCTCTAAGAATGTTCGTGTTAATGAATCTGAAATTAGCTTTCTAAACTCTTCATTGATGTAGATTCTTTGCCTTCATGATCCCTTATGACTAATTATCACTTGATTATTGTTCTATCCATAGAGCAACTATATAGGTGAGATAGAGAGGCAGCTAATACAGTGGATAAAGACACTGGTCTTGGAGTCAGGAAAACTTGGCTTCAGATCCTAGAAACTTATTGACTATGTGCACATGGGCAAGTTGTTAAACCTCTCTGGACCCCTGAGAAAGAGGGATGATAATAATAACTTATTTCCCAGGATTGTGTGAGGCTCAAGTAGAATATATGTAAAGCACATGGAAAACCTTAAAGAGTGCTGTGTTAGCTAATATAATTTTCATGTGTGAAAGGTAGGACTGACTCTATCACTGGTCTTCTAATCACTCCACTACCTTGCCTGATTTAGGATTATAGTTTTAGAGGTAGAAGGGAGTTCAGAGGTCATCTTGTCCAATTTTTCAATTAAAAAATGAGCAAATAGGCCAGGGATATACTTTAACCAGTTCTAACGGTTTGAAAGATTATTGAATCTTCATTGTGAGCATTTTCACTTTGGAAATGAACCTCCTGGATCAGGGCTTGATTTTTGTTTTGTTGATTGTCTTGACTTAACAAAGTGTTAGTAATGCACATTAATCTTGAAAGTATGTACATAAATTCTCCCCTCTCCCCTAGAACCCAAATGTTAGAACATTAGCGTTAAAACATTAACCAGCATACCCTTGAAATAGGCACTGGGACTTGCTCAAGCTCACACAGATAGAATGCCAGGTTTTGGGTGATTTTCAATTCAATTTGACACACATGTATCAAGTAATTAAGTGTCTAATGTGTAATAAATACTCTGCTAGGCGTGTGTGGTAGAGTGTGCATGTGGAGATGGAGAATTTTACCTAAGATATAGCCCCTGCCCTCATTGAATTTACATTCTAGTAGGGATATAAAATGTGATTTGTTGTTTAGTCATTTTTCAGTCCTGTCCAACTCTTTGTGACCGCTTTTGGGGTTTTCTTGGTAAAGATACTGGAGTGGTTTTCTCATTTCCTTCTCTAGCTCATTTTACAGATGATGAAACTGAGGCAAACAGGGTTAAGTAACTTGCTCAAAGTCACACAGCTATTAAGTGTCTGAGGCCAGATTTGAACTCAAGAATATGAGTCTTCCTGACTCCAGTCTGGTCACTCTATCCACTGTGCCACCTATCTGCCCATAAGACAGAGGGGACAGCTAGGTGGCACAGTAGATAGAGCACCAGCCCTGAAGTCAGGAGGACCAGAGTTCAAATCCGACCTCAGACCAAACAATTGACACTAGCTGTGTGACCCTGGGCAAGTCAATTAACCCCAATTGCCTAAAAAAAGAAAAAAAAAGACACAACAGAGATATTTAATGCATTATAGAGCATGATGAAAGCATTAAGAAGAGGCAAAAAAAAAATGTCATTTGAGGCCTGGGGGCAGAGCAGGAAGCTCTTTACTGGGAGGACATATGGTATAATGTAAAGAACCCAAGATTGGGAATCAGGAGAAACCTGGATTCTTATCTTATCTCTGGTGCTTATTAGTTAGTGACATCACCATTGATGAGCTGCTTAACTCTGCAACTTGGCTTTCCCATGAATAAAATGGAGATAATGATAGTAGTATTTACTGTAGTATTTACTTCACAGGGTGATTATGTGGATCAGATGAACTAATATAGATCAA